TACTTTTAACAATGACTTATAGTTGTAAATAATATAAAATAATATATGTGAAATAATGTACAAGAGAATAATACAATAGATAAAACAGATATGTAAAAATAAAGAGAACGAAATAAAATAATAAATTTGTAAACAAAGCTTTAAATTCTTTGTTCATCTGGCTTGTTGATATATCTACAATTTTTTATTATTATTATTATTATTATTTTTTAATTTTTAGCATTACTTTGATTGACGTGTCTTTAATGCGGCTTATTGATTGTATCGTTAGCGAGCGGAAAACTTTTGCTGCTATCAATATGGCTGCGCTGACTGTCTCCGTGTGTAGGCTCAACAAGCTCTTCAGAGAGAGAGAGGGAGAGAGAGTGGCTGGCAAGAGGCCCTCAGCTCTCAGCTCTCGGCTCTTGGCTCTTGTTTGACGGCAACGTAGTCGGAGCTGGCATCAAGCTGTCAAACATTTAAGCCGCCCACCATCGGCCATCTGTCTGACAGTGGCACTCTTCTGGTCATTTAATCACAGTATTAACTCTTTCGCTGAGCCGCTGTCAGTCTTGTCTCATTTTTGTTTTATTTGCCGAGCTGGCGTGGCTCCCAGGGGGGGAGGGGGGCGAGCAGAGCGGACGACAGTCGACGGCCGACGTTATAAATACTACTGTCTTCCAACTGTCAAGTTGGTATAAGTTTTGAGCGCAAAATACAAAATACAAAGCCGCCTTGACAGCTGGCTCTGACTGTGGCTCTGGACGTTGCTTGTCATGGCCCATGCTCCAAGTGCTCTGCCCCTCGGCCGCCTTCGCGCTCGCCAGAGGCTGATGATTATTATGTATTTTGTATTTTTGTTGTTTCTTGGCTTTGCTGACCAGAAAGAGCGAAAGAGAGATAGAGAGAGAGACACTCATGTGTCTCTGCATTCGTTTAGGCTTTTAAACGCTTAGGCCGACTTATGTTGGACTTAACGCGACTGGCGAGCAAAAGCCAACAGTTGGACAGCTAAAGACGCCTCTACTCGACGTCGGCGGCAAAACTTGAAATGAATTTGGACGCGCTTCGGATAATGAAAACGAAACGAGGCGCGCGCTTCAAGCAGCAACAAAGCGAACAAAAAAATTGAAGTAAAGAAGCAGAAACAGCAACAGAAACTCAAAAGGCAAAAGACAAAAATGAAATACAAAAAAATATAAACAACAACAACAACAAAATCCCCAACGGACACAAGAAAAAACGTCAAAAGTGATTTTGCGCTTTGCTCAGCAGCGAAGTAAAATCAAAAAGTGCCGCCGACGTCTGCGTCGACGTCAACGCCAACGTCGCCGTCAGCACCTCCAACGAGGTGCCCCTCCCCCTCCTCTCTCTCTTTCTCTCTCTCTCAGCCCTCACCAATTCCAGCTACTGTCCACCCTTAACTGCTTTCTAAAAGCTGACAAAAGCTTCTGGGCGCTTGCGGGATTTTGACATTTCATTTTTTTCCGCTTTGGCTCTTCTTCGGTCAGTTGACACGTACTTTTCGACGGCCCCAAGTGCGGCGTAGGCCCCGTGTGGATCCCGACAAAAAATTAGAATTGTTGACAGTATGGCCCACACTACACGAAAGAAGCTTAGCAAATTTCAAATTGAATGATCGATTTGGGAGCTCGAGTAATGGCTGAGCGACGGAACGTTCTAGGGATGTGGCAGGTCTTATCATATGAAAAGAGAAATATCCAGATATCCAAACTGATTGATAGTCAGCACGATTGACTGGCTGACTTGTCAGCTGGCTGACTAAGAAAATAAAATACAGATTTACTGAAAGATAGATTGACTTTTTATATGATTGACTGAGACTGCTTGACTGACTCAATAAAAAACTCACTGATTAAATAAATAAATGAATGAGTAACTGACTAATTGACTGATAGATTGAGTCGCTGATTGACTAAAAGATAAGAAAGATAAAGATTAGTAAGCTGATTTACTTAGATTAAAGTTTGAGTGATTGGCCGATGAAACAGATTGAAAGGAATTGCACGATTGATAGATTAAATGATAGAATGATTAGTTGATTGAACAACTGACAGCCTAAGACTGATAGTACGAATAACTGACTGACTAAACAATAGAGAAACTGATTGAATGTTTGATTGATGAACAATTGGCTAGAAGACATTCACTGACCGATTGACTCATAGAAGGCTTAAATCTACGTGATTGAAGAAGAAAACTAATCGATTGACTACTTTTTGATCTACGATGGAAGACAGGAAATAGCTGATTGATTGACTGAAAAACTGAATGCCGAATTAAAAAAAAAATTTAATAAGCTTAGTCCCATAGGCTTAGTGAATAATTGACAACTGACTGAGTGATTGAGAGACGCAGAAAAAGCTACTGACTGTCTCACATATTAAAATTCCTCCCGATTGATGATTAAAGCAAATTCTAAATAATATAAATTGCACATCAAACGCATTCCTCTGAGTC